CTCCTTCCCTTGCTTTATGAATTCCAAACCCAAAAGTATTGTGGCCCCGACCTTCTGCCCACTTAATCCTTTAGGTCCACGGCCCTTCCCACTGCATGATCTGGCCTCACCAAGTGCTATGAATCCAGCTTGATCAGGTCAAAAACCAACCTTGTTAACTTTTAAACAATAGAAATGTTAGCCAATCAGAATTAAGTACTGAAACCTTCCCTTTCAGGATGCCAGGTGGGAGGAGCTGAGGGAAAGTACTCACTATGGTCCACATCTGACAGGACTTTCCACAGAGCTAGCAACCTGGTCAGAGAGAGGAAGTAAGAACTGGTGACAGGAGGGAGCTGCTATTTTGCAAAGGGAAGAGCTCTCAGGATAGGACTGTGGGTGGTAGTCTGAGATTAGGAAGAAAATCTGGGTGGGTGGTTCATAAGAGAAGTAGGAACCCATCTATTCCTTGGGGAGAGCTGTATGGAGGGTTGGAGGGAGGGAAGGTTGGATGCCTGAGTCCTGTAGGAGCCCAGGGATGTGATTGGGTCTATTAACCGACTCCAACTTCCCAGGTTTTATCTGTGCACCCCTTCCCCAAGGATGAACCATTCTCACTCTACAAAGTCCTGTGTGCTCATCCTGCTAGTGGCCCTACTGTGTACAGAAAGAGGTGAGATGGAAAACGAGAATTGGGCAGGAGGGTACAATGCAGATGGAAAAGGGCCTCAGGGTTGAAGGTACACTTGCACCTCCATTGTGTGCCCAGTGCCCTAGGTGTGCTGGATTCAGGGGATTGGGGCTTGGCTCATGAGGGTTTGTGAAGCTTCCTGTGCTCTGGTGTTTGCTGAGTCTGTAAACCTGTCAGAAGTGTTGAACATCATGACCTCTGCCATGAACCCTGAGACAGCAGGACCCAGCATATTTGAACAACTGTGGCTCTTGGTTTGCTTTGCTTTTGGTGGAGGTGAATGAGCAGTAATGTCCTTTCTCTGTCCTAGCAGCCAGTAGCTGTGTGGATGTGAAGCCAGTTGCAGAGGAGGGGTCTGGGCTAGGAAGGGCATGCTCTAGCCCTCATGTATTGGCTTTCTCAGCTCAGGGGCTCAAGTGCTACAATTGCCTGGGGATCCCACTCGAGGCTTCCTGCTCATCAATAATGACCTGCCCTTACTATAATGCATTCTGTGTGACTCTGGTGGAAGAACTTACTGTGGGTAAGTGGACTATATAAAAATGGTTGAGGTTGTCTTGGGAGAAAAGGTCAGGTCTGGGCACTTGTTATAGACCATGGTTCCCCTGAACCATGGTTCCCATCCCTCCAGATAGAGCTGTCCTGGGGTTGGAGTGGGAGTCCTGCATAGTGGAACTGTCG